GCTGGGATTGAGTTTGTGGGTGATGAATCTTAAGTGGGTTCAAAAAATTTAGGGGGGGGGGGGGGGGGGGGGTTTTTTCTTTAAAATTTTCCATTTTAAGTCATTAGCCCGACTGGATGTAACTAATTTACACCAAGATATTATTGTCAATGCAGAATGATAGAATTCATTAATTTAGGAGCGGGGTCTTTCAGCAGTTTGACCATATTTTATTGAAAAGCATGATAAATGCACGGTATCCAATTCTTCGTGTAAATAAATATATTGTGCATAATATCTGAATTTACAGTACATTGATATTTTATACTCTGATAGTATCTAAGAAACGATAATGGCTATACATCCTCATGTAATATCCTATAGTAACTGTAGTAACAATTTGAATCTCTGCTTTCTTCTGATTGTTTTGTCTCACTGTATAAACAGTTCAGTCGTAAAAAGAGTAAATATTTGTAAGCTTCAATGTATGATATGATAGATATAAATTGAGAAATGCTCTGAATGAAAGATAATACAGGGAACATCCAAATCTATTGGACACATTACAACAGACTTAACAAACCTTCAATAACCATCTTGGTAAATGTTTGTGAAAAACAAATATATTAGAAAGTCTGACTTGATACAAGTACCAACTGTGGTAAAGATCAAATGACTTTATGCCAAGCCAGTTTAGTTAAAGGGGGGGGGGGAGGTAATTACACCCATACTTATCTAAACATATGTCATTAAATTAATTTGAGATCATTTGAAGTTCTACAGCAAATAGCCTGTCCCTTGTCAGGTGAAGTTGGCTCAATTACCCATGAGGCTAAATGGGAACCCAGTATGTGTAATCATTGTTGCCATTAATATATGTGGCCCAATTAATCAAAAGTCAATTATAGAGGTTCCCATGTTATTGCTCCTGTATTGGCCACTTCTTTAAAATTAATGACACAATGCATATTGACCAAAGTTAATAGGAATAACGCACATAAGGACTTTTACAATTATTATGCATTTTGTTACCATTGAGTATTGAACAAACACATGACCTAAAAAAACAGTAATTGATTGGCAAGGAGTAAAAATAGTCCTTAGTATGTTCAGACTTGGTACAGACTCTTTCTCACAACTATCTTAATGCTGGATAGTTCTGACTTATTACTTATTACTTCCACAAGACTTGAAAATTACTTGGAAAATGACTTTGTACAATCTCTTCTATAGGACTTATACAAAGTCTTGACAATCTCACTTATTACAAGCACTTCCACTAGATTTGAAAATGACTGACAACTCTGACTTGAGGTACAAACATCAGTCTTTAGTTTTTGATTTTTTTATTTTTTGCTGTGACGTTGTCAGTTTCTACTGGACTTATGAGTTTGACTATTCCTTTGGTATCTTTTGTCTCTCTTTTACGTGGGATATGATAGTTTCATAAAAATTAATATTTTGAAACAGTGCTAGCATATAAAAATTTATGACACAAAATGTAACTGAAATTTTGGATGTTTTCAAAACCTTATTTCATGAATGAATGAAAGTTTGATAAAATGTTGCCAAAAAATTCATATTTATTGCATAACTAAATTGTACAATTTAATCTAGTTTCTGGATTATCTTACATTCAATCTTTATGATACATCATTTTCTAGATTTTTTTTTCTGTCCTTGACTTGTGTTTTTATGACGATAGCTGGTTTTGACATTATTATTCTATATTTACTAAAGATGTTCTATTATAAGCTAAAGATAATCATCCTCACATCTAGTATACTTTAAATTAATGACTTATTATGCCAAAAGTAATTCACAGTTATTGTTTCTAAAGCTTTCTTGAAGAATAACAGTTATTTTGCAACATTATGTTTTAAAGTGTTATATAACAGTACATTTTATTTTGTTTGAAAAGATCTTGACTCTTAACTCTGAAATATACAAAAATTACTTTTTGAATCCCTAGATATGTTGCTACTAAATTTAAGCTTTTATAAGCAGATAAGAGATTTTATTCTCTTCTTTATAGAAAGATTGGAATTATTGTACAAAATTTAAGCTTCGCATATCTAGCAGACTATATAATGTCGTGTAAACATCTTTAGGATGTTATTAGATGCTTTTATAAGACTTTCTGATTTTCAAATTCAAGGGCTAATAGAAGGGATCTATCATACCTTCCCTTTTATCAAAACAGATCTGGTTTTTAGCTCACCTGTCCCAAAGGGCAAAGTGAGCTTTTCTCATCACTTGGTGTCCGTAGTAGTCATCTGTTAACTTTTACAAAAATCATCTCCTCTGAAACCATCAGGCCAAATTTCACCAAACTTGGCCACTATTATCATAAGCCTATCTAGTTTTAAAATTATGTCTGATGACCCCGCCTGCCAACAAACATGGCCGCCATGGCTAAAAATAGAACATAGGGGTAAATGCAAGTTTTGTCTATTATCTTGAAAACTGCTATAAAAAAAAAATCTGACAGACCAAAAATGATCAGAATGTTGAGATGTACATAATGTCTTTTTGAATCAAAACTTCTTATGGAAGTTATTGCCCTTAAATGACGATTTTTATAAATTTTTTGCATTTTTGCCTAATATGTTAAAAACTATAATAGATAGAAAAAACTCTAAATTGCATTGATGAGCACAACAAGATCTACAATTGGGACAACATTGCTGAAATCGTCAGTTAACTCTTTATTGGAGTAATGGTTCTTAATGATGATTTGTACCCATTTTTAGTGTTTTTGTCTTTTATCTTGAAAACTATAATAGTTAGATAGACACTTGAAATAGCAAAAATGATCAGCAAGACAAGACCTTCAAACAAGTCAAAGGCCAAAATCATCAGTAGACTCCTTTTTTGGAGTTCTTGCCCTTTAATGACTATATTTACCAATTTTTTGCTTTTTTGTCTTGTATCTAAAAAATTATAATAGATAGGTAGAAACTTAAATAAGCAAATTTGCTTATCAAGACAAGATCTACAATTAAGTCATAGAGAGGAAAGTCAAGTTTTGCGGGAATCATTAGTAGACATTTTATCAAAGGGGATGGCCCTTTAATGGCGATTTTTTAACCCTTTTTTTTTTGTGTGTTTCGGGCTAAAACAAAATAAGATAGAGAGAAACTGTAAACAGATAAAAATCAACAATACAAAATCAACAATAAAGAGATTTTTGTCAGGAATTCTATTCTAGTCAACAATGCTGGAGAGTGTCCATTGTTGAAGATGCAATTTGACCTAGTTGTGCAACACAGGCTCTTTAGAGTCTTTAGTTTATAATACCTGCATGTGATAGTATGTGATTTTTAGTATAATTATTATTAATGATTGGTAGACATAATAAAAGTGTCTGTTTCTAGAACAAACCAATCCAGATAACAGAGGGGGTGTTCCAAACTAGGAAATAATATCAGTGGTTACATTGTTTCTTTGTTTAATAAATTGGTGTTGATATCATAGATTTAGATGCGGTATTAACGATTGTTCTGATTACAGAAAACCACATGTTCATTCCTTAATTTTCTCTATGGTGGGCTAGTGTTGTTAGATTGCTGTCACATTGATACAGTATTTTATTCAAATGGAGTGTTACCAGACAGAATAGACATTAGCATTAGAGAATTCATACATCAAAACTTACACCAGCTGTTGGCGTATACATTATGTACATTAACTAGAACTTATCTTATTTAATTTATTATAAATTGATAATTTACAGGTGTTTGTAAAAAATTAAACATAATTCAATATTAAATTGTTCCTATTTCACAGATTATATAGTTTAAATTACATTCCATTGATTTTATGAACAGTTTGATGTTTTATTTTTATGAAGATAATCTAATTTATCTATAATTTAACTTCAGCAGAAACAAATTTGGAACAGTCTAATCCAGAGTTTTTGCTAAAAAAAATGTTTTTAAATGAGATAAATTGAGCGAATATTTCAGAACAAGGTGTCAGTGTCACACTGTATTCTATTATTGAACACATGTAAACTGGCAATTTAACTTCATAATCATTAATTTTGTCAGTCAAAAATTTTTATTCACCTGTTGCAGAGGACTATTGCAGAAACAAGTTTAATGGCCATTGTTATATTATAGTTCGTTTCTGTGTGTGTTACATTTTAATGTTGTGTTTTTGTTGTGTCGTTTTTCTCTTATATTTGATGCGTTTCCCTCAGTTTTAGTTTGTAACCCGGGTTTGTTTTTATCTCTATCGATTTATGAGTTTCGAACAGCGGTATACTACTGTTGCCTTTATTTAACATATAGAAATATGTTTAACCTATTGTCTATGTAATCTTTAATGCCTTTTGGGATATGTTGGATGACAATCTTCATGATCTTATCCCTGAACAACCTTGAGGGCCATCAAATTATCAATAGAAACATTTAAAAATGATATAAAAACTCTTACTTAAAATACTAAAATAGCATTAATTTACTGAGTCTGGATCATTTTCAGAGTTACAGATGCTGACACCTAACCAGGCCTTGCCATTATAAAACTTTAGAGCATGATTATCTTACTCAGACATAGAAATCAACCAATCAAAATACAGGATATTGTGTTTGGAGCACAAATTGTGTACTTTGAGTACTTAGTAAAGTTTTATGACCGAGAGCCCAGATATTCACTATGAGTTTGAGTATGAGATGCCAATTTGGAACATTAAGATACTTGTAACCTTGCCATTGCTGGGTTAATAGGAAAGAAAATTGGCCAGAATAATAAGTAATCATTGAATAAATGCTGTGAAATATTTAGTCTTAAAAAAGATAGTCAAATGATGCTTAAAAACTAAATGAGATCTGTATAGATTTACCTCCGATGTCCTGCCTTAAGAATCATGGGACTTCTCAGTTAACTCTGTCTATATAGTCTCGTAGCCTTGCCAGTTGTACCTGAGAGAGGGAGAAGTTGGTAGTATGATTGAAACAAGTCTTTATGGCCAAATCTGTAAAGGAAATCTTTTTAAATTGTTAATATATTTTCAGATTTTTATGAAGCCAGGGGACAAAAGATTATCCTCATTGACAGAATCAGATGACAGAAGACATTTAGTTTCTTGATATACAGTCAGTAGTTATGTAACTATCAAATGTGATATGCTGAATTATGTACAATTTTTTTTTATATAAATCACAAACCAAAGTGCTAGAACCAGTCAGAAATCAGTTGCAATGAAATCAAATACTCAGGAATTATAGATAGAAATACAGAAAAAGACATAATTGTATGAAATTGTAATATTAGTTTGGTCATTATTGTATACTTAACATGATATTATTGTTCTTTTTTATATCACATCTATTTAAACTTACTGTTTAATATCAGAATTCAACTTTTTTATATTTGAAATTATTCATATAAAACAAAATATTTTAATTTCAGATTATTTATTTTAATTAGAAAATTGACATTTTATCAGATGTTGAATCATGTAAAAATGCACTTAGCAAAATTCTTAAAAATCAAAATAAATTTTTATGGAATAGAAAATTTGCTTATAATTAAAAAGTAGTCCTTATGGTATAATAATAGTAATTAAGGATGTTCGCTCCTCTTGTTATTGATTTTTTGCCAGATATTCAGAATCCTCTAGTTTTATCCATGTAGAGCCATTAAAAATTTTGCCCAATAACCCCTACTTTGCTTTCCATAATTTGATTACATATAGTTTAAAATGTCATCTTTGAAAATCTTATTAAATCCTTGTTATTTTTTCATCGTTTTTGAAAGAAAAAAGGTGCCAATGTTAAATGTATGAAAATCTAGAGAGAAGTATTTCCCGCCAAATTTTCAATGGCTTATATCTCAATAACAAGCACACGGACCCTTCACTTTTTTCTGCTTTTTTAGTTCCAATATTTATATACTATCAATTTATAATATTCTTTTAAAAAGCTTGTTATTTTGAAACAGAGTAGCGAACATCCTTAATATACATTATTGTGAAAGATTGTATGTTGCCTTCTTGGTGTATTTGAATTAGATTATTATGTGGTTTGATTTTGTCTCATTTCCCCACATTTACTTTTATTTATATATATATAAAGTTACATAGGATGTGTTACTTCCTGTTGTTTTGCAGTGCATTCTATTCAATTTATTTTTTTTTACTATGCAAATATTGCCAAAAATCTTAATGGTACAATAGCTAATAACACTGATATGTTTATTACCTATGACAATGAATCATTTTCATCGCATTTTTTGGTGAAAACAGCTACTGATTTGTGTTTAAATGTTAGATTATTAATTGGCAAGGCTTATTTTTAAGCAGGGCTGAAAGACACTAATATAAATAATTCATTTTTTGTAAATCTTCAGATATATTGAGCAATTACAATGCAATTTTGTTTAACTTTGATCTTCAACTTAGTAGACAATTTTGTGTTTGTTGAATGAGAAGTGGTTCTATAATTTGTTTTTGTAATAATCTTGTCTAATATGTTTGAACTTGAAATAGATAATCAAATTATTTTAGTTCTTTTTTAATACATAGGATTTAGTTTATATGATGACTTAAAAAACTTTTTTTGTATCAAATTATTTAAACTATAGTTTTGACATAAACAGTATTATTTTTGTCTTTGTAATGCACTAGTTTAGAAGGTGTGCAATACTGTATTAGAACAAACATGGCTAGCACATAGTCTTAAAACAAATGTATTTTGTAGACTGAAAGATATAAATTGTTCAAAGTAGATTTAGTTTGATATTGTAAATATTTCCTCAGAACAAATATAGTCATTATCTCAGGAAATGTATTTCAGCATTAATTTTAGTAATTTTTTTGTAGTAAGCATTCACATAGGGGATTATATTTTAAATGCATTTATAACTAATCTTGTGAAAAGGCTTTAATGATATTGTATCTTTTTTCTCTTTTGGATGTGATATTATTTATTTAGCTTGGTGAGGAGTAATTTGTTCTTCCATATTTTTTAGAAGCAAAATGTAGTAATTTGTTTCTTTGGTATATGAAATACAACAATTTATTTAGGGATTCCTTTTGTTAACATTTCATGACCATGAGATATTGAATACCACTTAATATTCATTTGTGATAATTTTACTTTTTTTTGTGTATGCTGACATTTATTTCATCTGAATTTAATATGTATTCATTGTTGATGTTCAATCTTATGTTTTCTGTTGAATTCTTAACAACTTATCTGGACTGCAAAGCCATTAAAGTGTCCATATATACAATTAGGGAAAACCTCTTCACAGGATCTTCATGTATACCGTTGGTAATTGACTGTTATAGTTCTGACTTGGTACAGGTACTTTCAAATGAAAGTGATTGACTGAACCAGGTTTCACAGCTTGTCAAACCTCTTACTTATATGTTATTTCATTTAATAAGGACTATTTTCTTGAAGCCAACACCACCAATTGAATGTTGGTTTATTTTTATCTATTTAAATACTGTAGATTCATTATTATTCTTTTGAGACTGATTTTTCGTGGATTTTTTGGGTACAGGGAAATCACGAAATAAATTATTCCAACAAATAACTAGTTTTCTATATCAATGTATGAGGACTTTAGCAAAACCATGTAATTAAATATCCACATAAAGGCAAGTTTTCCTCAATCCACAAAAATTGAAATCCACAAAGATAAATGAATCCACATCAGCAATTTTATAGGGGGTCTCACTTGGGGGCTCTGATCCTGGATCCCGCTTATTGTTTTGTAAGAATTTCGTATCCCGCTTATAGTTGTAATAATAGCGCTTGTAATTTCACATGTCCCGCCCGACTTCGCTTCTACACCATAATAATGTGACTTTCACGTGTCATGCTTCCAAAAAATCAGCCAATCCCACATCATGCTTAGACCTCAATGAGACCCACTTTCCATGCTTAAGGATATCCTCCTGCAAAATTTGCATAGGAATTCTACTGACCACTATTTAAAGCCTTCTACAATATTCCTTCTATATTCTTGCTTAAATTTCAATATGCATGTGACAGGCATACCATGTCTTCCTGGCACAGCTGTTTATTATGATACAACAAACTTCATTAAATGTGTTAGATCTACATGTATATTGAATAATTAATTCGATATGGGATATTTAAAAGTTAAGTGTCAAGGTAAATGTCCATTATTCTGGTCTTAATTGATCATTACACTTGTATTGAAATGTTTGTCACCTTATATCATGCATTTCTTAAATGGAACATTGAACTAAATGAAGGGAATGGTAAATAGTTTGTTTGCCAAAAACTTACTTTTATCAAATATTAGATACCTGCTGTTTGATGTGTTTATAATAAATTACATGATATAAAGGAGACATAAATACAAGTTAATTTCATTTTGGAAAGAATTGATACTTTTCATGTACAGTGTGAATATATCATTATAATCATCAGAAATATTGTAGATCATTGTATTTATGTTAGGATCTCTTTAATGATTATTATATAAATTAGAAAGTATAAAAAGTGATGCATGTATCTTAACTTTTGATATCAAATTCTTGTACCTTTGGTTGATAAGTATGCCAAAAACCGATAATGCATTTTTCATTCAAAATATATATAGAAAGATTGTTTTTTACTTGTTTATTTATTAATTAAAATCAAATGTAGGTCCCCAGACTTGTAGCCAAGATTTGCTGCTCCTAGATTTTCAAATTTTATTACAGAGTATATAGAAAAGTAAGAAAACATTTTAATAGTGCTATTTGACAATCATTTGTAATGTGGTCTTCTAAAGGATGTTATTATATTAATATAAAATACTACATTATATACATAGGTCATGTATGTCTGAAATGTGTGTGGATCACTAACATTGCTGGTTTATTTTCTATATAATGTTATTTATTTTGTTCTTGTTGATTTGCAAATAAAAATGATGAAGTTACCTTCTGATTATGTTGGTTTATATTATTGAACATTGTTTATTGAATGCTGCCTTTCATGCAACAAATGACAGTATCTTCCTTTAATAGAAAGTAAATTTCTCTTCAACCTGAACACATCTTTTTTTGTAATCATAGGTTCTTATAGGTTGAGGGATCATCAGGTTCATGTTCTTTTTTCTTTTTAATCAAGATTTTTATATAAGTACCTTTTCAGATGAACTGCCATCTAAAAAAAGGAGCCCACAATATGGTAGTGGTATGGTATGACATAGATACAACATGGAAGTTCTTAAGTATGTATATTAATTCTACATTCAAGGCTGTACTCTCCACAGAGCCATATAGTAGATTGATTGATTGTTGTTTGTTTAATGTTCACTGGCTCAAATTATAGGCAATCATATCCTTACTGTGTCAAAGCTTAAGGCATCCTCTGAACATTTAAAAGTGCCTACTGTGTTTTGGAAACCAAAACTACACGAAAACATCGTTTTGTCTCCACTTTTAGTAAGTGATAAAAAAACTAATCTTTCTATCCTTCTAAATAAATCCTAAATAAATATCTAATCACTTATTGTTAAATTTTGTAACAAAGTGAATAACAGAATTAATTATTTTTTGTGCCAAAAACGCTAAAATTACATGCTCTTATTTATCCTTTTGATTCAGTTCTCAGTTATGACTTTTCAACTCTCTATAATAAACTTCCACACAATTTAATCAAATAGAATTTTTCCTTTTTAATCCTTATTTGATTAAATGGTCCTTATAAATCTCTCCAAATTTTTGCTTCAACCGTTATAAAGCCTTCTGTAATGAAAAATATAAATATGCTAGATATACTTGATGAACTGTAATGAGATAATTAAAGCTGTTAGTGTTTGCCTTGACAACAACACTTGGGTACATTTCTACAATAAAGTTTTTTGACAGGTTGTAGGTATTCCTATGGGTACCAATTGCACCCCATTGATAGACTTGTTTCTGTATTGTTATGAATCACAAAATATGGCCAAACTCAGTAAAGATAGGTCTAGACTATTTACCGGATTTGTAATAACATAAGCAACTCGACGGGTGCCACATGTGGAGCAGGATCTGCTTACCCTTCCGGAGCACCTGAGATCACCCCCAGTTTTTGGTGGGGTTCGTGTTGCTTAGTCTTTAGTTTTCTATGTTGTGTCATCTGTACTATCATTTGTCTGTTTGTCTTTTTATTTTTGGCCATGACGTTGTCAG